TTTTTTTAATGGTAAAGAGAGAATCTGTTAGATCAAATGTGCTGRAATGRGAATTGAAATCGTGACATATACGGCGGAATGGTTCGTTTAACTCGAAATTTGTTCTAGAAAATTTTAAAAGCAAATGTTTAAACTGCCTGGTACAGCGAGCGGGAATGTTAAAATTAATATCAGACAAGAGAGATGGGCTACAGACTGACCCATTGATGAATATTACAAGAAATATTATAACAAGCATTTCTCTATGACTAGCGAGTGTAGGGAGATTTATCAGTTTTAAACTGTTAGTGTAAGGGGGAAGATTTGAACTGGAATCCCAATGCAAATGATTTAAGGCAAAAAGTAAAAATTGTTTTTGAACGGACTCTATTTTCTCAGAATGAACTAGATAGCAATTGTTCCATACCACGGAAGCTTACTCTAATATAGGCCTCACCAAAAATGTAAAAAGAATTTTCGTGGTAAGCGGATCTCTAAATTCTTTCGACAAACGTTTAACAAAACTTAGAGCACCTTTAGCTTTAAAAACCATGGAAGATGTATGAAGATTAAAATTGAGTTTAGGGTCCATAGTTATTCCCAAGTCAACAAAACTGCATACTTGCTCCATCGTTTTTTAAGATTCAATGGCATGTCATTTCTATCACACCAAGAAACTAGGTTATTTAAGTCTGTTTGCAACTGACATCTTTCACTATTTGAGGTGAATGATTTAAAAAGTTTTATATCGTCAGCATATAATAAAACGTATGAAAACTTAACAGATGATATGTCATTAATAAATAATAAGAACAGAATTGGGCCAAGATGGCTACCTTGAGGAACACGTGACGGAACATTGATTATGTCGGAAAGAGTATCGTTAAATATGACTTGTTGAATCCTATTACTAAGATAAGAAGAAACTCATTTTAGAAATATTGGTTGAAAACTAAGAAGATCAAGTTTATTCAAAAGAATTGAATGGGATACTTTATCAAAAGCTTTACTAAATTCTGTGTATGTAACATCAGTATTCTTATTCTCCCTAAAGCCCGTTGATACATGTGATACAAATTCAAGCAAATTAGTTATTGTGGATTTCCCTTTGCGAAAACCGTGCTGAGAACAAGAAATTAGTGGAGAGATCCGGAAGGTTATGTCGTCTGTTATAATTGCTTCAAAAAGTTTAGGTATTACAGACAACTTTGCTATTCCCCTATAGTTTTCAATAGATGACCTAAATCCACTCTTATGGAAAGGAATTATAAATGACTTTTTCCATATGGATGGAAATAAGCCTTCCATAAGAGATGAATTAAATAGTTTTGTTAGGGGTTGATATATATATTTAGCACATTTCTTAAGAAAGCACGAGGGAATCATATCTGGGCCGTAATTGTATGATTGTTCTAATATATTTAACTGATATAAGACGTCTGCTTCGGATATGGTAGGTGCATTAATGAAAGAAATCGGGCATAGCTTGTGCTGATTCGGAACATTTTTTGGAGATTTTTAAGAGTAATTGGACCTAAATAATTCAGCGAACATATTAGAAATGGTGTGATTGTCACTGGACATACTAGACTTATATTTCATAGCAGACGGAAAATTAGAAATCCTGCGTTTGGAGTTGACGAAACCATAGCACAATTTTGGATTACGTAAAATATTATTTTTGACTTTATTTATATAATTATTATAACATATTTTGTTAAGTTCAGCAAATTGCCGGCGCAATTTAGAATATCTTGAATAGTCAGCAACTAAACCAGTTTTTTTAAAAAGTTTAAATGCACGAGATTTTCAATTTTTTAATTTACATAATTCTTTCGAAAACCATAAATTAGAACTCATTTTATGAGTAACAACACACTTCGGAACCTATTTTTCGAATAAGTTTAAAATAGTTTCATTAAAGTGGGAAGCACTAAATTCAATGAGGCCCATTGAGAAAACATTATTTATTAATGAAGCATGCTGCATATATACAGATATGTCCGAGTGAGGCGGTATATAAGACAAGGTTCCCACGACAGTCGGGTCTACGAAAACCGGAACGGACCCGGATATTTATCCGGCCAAGGACTGTCAACTCGGCAGAATTCTGCCGTTACAACAACAACAACAACAAAGTTAAGTAGATATAGCCACTATTAGCGCAAATACGAATGCACCTAAATTCTATGAAGAATCGACTTCTTCAGATGGAATTGAAGAATGAACAGCAAACAAGACACCWCCTCCTTTCTTGTTCAGCCGGTCAAATCTAAAGATTTCAAATTCGCTATTGAATATTTCACTATCAAAAATGTGGGGCTTTAACCAAGTTTCTGTGCAAGCAATGATTTTAAAATTAGAATTGACGCTATTTGGATACAGATCGGAGAGTTT